ACAGTGACAAATCCCCTGCAAAACGGAAATTTTGAAATGTACCTATTCTTTAAACCTTTGCAAACTTTGTTACATTAACTAATATATTCTTTCAGGATATCAGAACATAAAACTATGCACAACAGGACATTATTGTGAAGTGGAAGACAAATATATATGTTTTGATAGTAAATAATAATCTTAACATGTTTTACACCTTCCTAAATGAGATTGAGTGTGACCTGCAGCCTTCAGAGGTCACCTAATTGGTACAAAGAATCCAGAGGGCCATAGTAACCATGCAGGAGCTGCAGAGCTCCTTAGGTTTGGTTAGGGGAATTTTGTTAACCAGACAGCTTTTAGTTTTGCTCACTACTAACATGAAAAATTAGCTGTATTGTTATTGAAAGAATTTCATAAGTAGTACAATTTACAGTTGTGGATTACCCATGTTGGCTAAAAAAAAAAATAAATTTTTAAACTGTAAAATCATATAAAACATGTTGGGAAATTTACTTACCTACCTTATAAGAAACTAAACATACAATGTTTTATTAATACATTTTGTTTCTTGTAAAGGAAGGAGTACATCATTGTAGATTCAACCATATAAAGTGTTTTGCACAAAACTTATTCAGTTTGTAATTTCTTTTGGGGCGGGATGAAGCAAAATAAATTAGAGATTGCAAAAAGTGTGTTTTTTTTTAAAGACTAAAACTTTTGAAGGTACTTAATATTTTCCATTGCAAGAAGGTTTTCAGTTATTGATAATAATGTTAGATCTTTATCATTTCTGACAGAAGTCAGGGGCCAAACAAAATAAGTTCAAAGGTCACACTTTGGGAATCCCTGGTTTAGATTAAGTCCCATGTGTTCATCAGAGATACTCAGTCAATTAACAAATCAATGAATGACTGGTAACAAGACTCGGTAATGATGACAGCAATTGTCTATAGCAGCTGTGTTTGGACATCTTTACCCAAGAGAAAGAGGAATGAGGAACAATTTTAGTCTCTAGATAGGCACTGTGCATAACTTTAACCTTCAGATCCAATCCTACTCCGGCCCTCTGATGTGTACCATGCCATATATGCATCTCAGAGAAAACATCCATTTAGTCTAAGCTTTTTTATGGAAACAAAGGTTTGAGCTCAGATCTAAAATATCCTGCTAAAATATCTGCATTATAACTACCATACTTATGCATGCGAGATGTATTTAAATAAGATTAAAACCTCTCAGAGGTAAATGAGAACACAAAATATGGAGAACAAATGAGTAACAAGAAGGATTAGGGTGAAAATCAATTAGGATGATATTCTTTAGGGTATTTGTAGTTTGCTGGTAATATTTACGGCTTCGGCCCCCAAAGGCAGCCGGTCACTGTACTCAGATCCCATTTCAGAGTCATCTATATTTCCCTTGCAAGTGAAAGACTCAGTAATAACACTTTCTTCTGTGTCTACTTCTTTCTCCCCACCATCTACACTCTCCATTTCCAAGTCATCCTCATTTATCTTCCTTCTAGACTCTGTGATTGGAGCATGCATGCTTAGGTTGGTGGTCAGCTTCCTCTCTATGTGGTACTGGTCTTTGGCCTTCAGGATCAGTTTGTAGGTCTTATTGCGGTATTTGTAGACCAGGTGGAAGCATGTTGCTCCAACCAGAGGCACGGTGGACACAGTCAGCAGGCAGATGCTGACTGAGATGATGATGATGAGGTTTGGCACACTCCTTCTGGTGGCAAAGAGCACCTGGACTTCACAGTCTTCCCCTCTATAGGTCAGGCAGAGAGAGTAGTTGGTACCAGGTTCTAAACCACTGAACAGGTATGTGTTGACGCCTTCTTTGATCTGTGACCACTGCACAGCGGATTGTTTGCTGTCTGTAGCAATGCACAAATACAAACCGTTTAAATTCTCCTTTTCCAGGAATTCTGGAAAGCCAGAGTTCTCCTCACTGTCGCTCCAAAAGTTCTTAAATCCGTTTGGACTCCTGTTTTTGGGTATGAGTAGAGGACTGAGTCGCACTGTCGCCTCTGTTTCTGAAACCCCCAGTTCAATGACACCAAAGTTGAAGGTGTACTGCTGTATGTTATCCATGCTGGCATTCAGGACATGACTAGAGATGTTTTTTGTGTTTGCAGTTAGGCCGCATTTGCTTGAATAAGTCAGATATCTTTTGTCCTCAAGAAGCTCAGATTTGACATCAGTCGATTGTGTGGTAGGTTCGTCGGTGAAAAAGTATTTTCTTTTTAATTTTGCGAGATGCAGATAATCCAAAACTGATGTTCTCTTTTTTTGTTCAGGTATTGATGGGTTTGTTAGAATTGAAGTAAATATAGTCATCGTCGAGGCACTGGGTGTTGGTCTTGGACTTGCAATCACCTTAATAGACACAAAATTTTCAGCTCTGCCAAGCCCATTTGTTGCAGAGCAGCTGTAGTCTCCGCTGTCCTCTAGTCTGAGGCTTGAAATGAGCAGCGTGCCATTATTAAACACTTTAATATTGTCTTCAGCCTCTTCAGAGCTGTCCTCATCCAAAGACAAAGTCAGCTCTTGTTTTAGATTTTTACTGGAAATATTCCACACAACCTTGGGTTTTGGGTTTCCTTTGAAATCACAAATCAAAGCTATTTGGGTCTTCTGGTGGAAAACCATGTTGGGAACATGTGGCTCAATTAGTATTGTGACATTAGGGCTTGTGCACTTTGACTCAGGTAATTTTGAAATAATTTCACCTCTAAGCTCCTTGGGAGTTGCACAAGTGATCAAGCTCTGCTCCGTAATTGAGATTGTGGTTAGAGAGATCCAGTTTCTGAGCCAGTCCAAGGTGCAGGTGCACACAAAAGGATTGTTAAAGATCTGCAAATGTGACAAAGACACCAAACCATCAAATGTCCCCTCAGCTATGGTTTTGAATCTATTATTGTTAAGTCTGAGGGACCTCAGGTTTTTGAGGTTGGAGAAGGCGTCTTTGGGCAGGTGAGACAGCTTGTTGTGGTTCATCTTCAGCAGCTCCAGAGCTGTGAGGTTCTTCAGATCTGCCCAGGGGAAGTCTGCCAACTTGTTGTGGCTAATGTCAAAGTAACGAAGATGAACCAAAAGTACAAGGCTAAATTCTTCGACAGAGGAGAGTTCATTGTTGGCCATCCACAGGGAGGTCACCTGGGTAACGTTATCAAAGCTGCCTACTGGGATAGTAACGATCTGGTTTGCAGAGAGACTCAAGGTGGTCACATTGGGGGGTAAACCTTTCGGGACTGCGGTTAGGTATTTGTAAGAGCATTCAGTAAAGTGCCGACCATATTTATCTGAGCAGCTGCAAAGCTCAGGGCAGCAGAGGACAGTTGGGAGGAATGAGATGATCCATAGCGCAAACAGGAGGTTATCTGCTGCTGCCATTTCTGCTCCTGTAAGACAGAATCACAGCCCACATATTGCTCAAAACTGATTCATCATTCTCAAATTAGAGGACATAAAAAGGGACATTCTACAAGTACAACACACAAATTTAAAATATAAGGACATTAAGTGTACACTTAAAATAAAAAAGAGAAGTCTTGGTAAGAAGTACATTTGTTTATTTTAATTTTACATGGTAAATAATGTGCAGCTAGGTGTGCTCAAGTAATTTAAATTGCAGTGGTAATGATTCCCAGAGTAAACTTTTATTGCTTAAAGTTCACCCATCTATAGATCATGAAACATATTTCAGTTTTGAATCTCAGTCTCATTTTAGTTTCTATTTTGTCTCAAATGTTTCTCATGTGTTTCTCCTGAAATTCGCTAGGAGAAATAAGTTAGAAAGTTAAAATTACAGTACAAAAGGAGGTAAAGAGATACCTTCCAAAACTTGAATTTACACACCCACACAGCATCATGGCCATGTTGTAGCCACAGCTTCACTGACAGAAGCGAAGCTGTGTGAAGTGTGTGTCCTCTGACCGCCATCAGTTCTATTCACATACAGTTTAAGTCACTTTGCCGAGGACACAGCAACAATAAAAGCCAGAGCCTGGGCTTGAACCCATAGCCTCCGGTTACAAAATCCTGCCTCCGATGCCACTGTCACCCAAACAAGGGATAGCAAAAGAAAATGTTGGATATGTAAATCCAAAGAGTGTGCCCGCTTTGGTGGTAAAAATTATTCTAAAAATTGGCATATCTCTTTGTAGCCAGGAATTAAGAATGCATTTACTTTTCTTTATGGCTGGCAAAATATTCAGTTCTTCTTTTGCCTTATAATCCTTTATCATGGTCACAACTAACTTCTTTCACTGGAATCCTATATAAGGTGTTTTATTGATAATCGTTTATTGACATTAACTCAGATTTTTATAAATGTAGGTGTTGTAAGAAAAACAGGTGTATCATCAGGGAGCGTAGTTATCATCAGAGGATAACTAAATACATGCAATGGCTCAATATCTTGACTATTCTTGAGAAAAACAGCCAATAAATCTGCAGTTAATATAAATAATAAAGGAGAGGAGAGGCAACCCTGTCGGATTCCCCGTTGCCCTTCAAATCTTCCCTTGAGAGAAAGGGACATGGAATTAATTACTTTTATAAACACACATATTCTAAGGATTTTATTCTAAAGAGATGCTTTAAAGAGTCAAAATGAGTCAAAATGAGTAAAGAGTAAAAATCTAAAAAGAAAAGAAAAGTCTTTATCTTTAATAAAGGAATAGCCTATAAATGTCAGGGTTAGTTGTGGTAGAGGACCCAAATGCAGAGGCAGAGAGGCTGAGGAGATTTCTTGGGAGTTTAATGGGTCAAAAAAGTAACAAAGGCAGGAAAGCAAAAATCCAACTAATAATCAAAAGCAAACCAGAACTATGGAGACATCTGGGGGAAACCAAACACGAGGAGCCAGGAAGAGACGAGGAACATGGACAACAGCATGGGAGGACAGCAAAGACAGGGAACCAACAAAAGGTGAGAGCAGAGGGAGAGCATATATAGCAGAGAGAGACAAAGGGAGGGCTAACGAGCAGACAAGGAGCAGGTGTGAGAGGAGACAACGAGGGAGCCAAAGGGAAAGGAACATACACACACACACACACACACACACGAGGGCAATAGAGGACAACAGAAAAACATGAGAACTAATATAAATCTAGAAATTACAAAAAAACTGGAATTAAACCAATAAATCTAGAAAACAAGGAGCAAAGTAAAGAACAGCAGAACCAAGACCATGACAATAAATTCGAGAAACAAACTAATATTATTGCGTATGACCAACACTTAATTAATCCTGATTAGTTTTCACGCACTATCTGTCCCAAATCAATTTACAGTTGAATGGAAAAGATAATGGTGAATAATTTACATTCAGTAAAATTACAGGTCTCAGATTATCTATACATGTTTTTCCTTTTCCTGGTTTGCGCAATAATGTAATGACTCCTTATTTCATAATTGGCATTAAATTGTAAATTTGAATACATTATTTTAATGCTCTTAATAATAATTCTTTTAAGTGTTCCCAGAAAAAAAATCTATGAAAATTGCAAGTAGAGCCATGATTATGACCAGGTGATTTGCGCAATGATATTTATTTTACAGTAACATCTACTTTAATCTGTATTTCAGGGTTGCATAACATTTTGAATGTTGAGTCGATTCTGGGAATGTTTTCCAAAAATGGTATTGAAGCTGTAATGAAAGTAGATCTAGTTCATATAGAGGACTTTCTGATTTCCGTGTGTCAGATTCCACAGAGAAACAAAAGTTGAAAAAGACTGAAAATTATATTAGATCTTGTTGGTTTAGGTTTTTTCTACAGATTGAAAGGATTGCTTGAGGAGAGCTCTTCCTTTACACTGTCGGAGCATGAGAGTAGACCAAGTTCATAGAGAGAGCTTTCTGATTTATATGCTTAAGATCCCAATTAGACACAAAAGGTGAGAAAGTCAGGGAATTATATTTGAGCTTGTTGAGATCTTTTCTTTTCACCTTATTGCTTCAAAGAAAAAACTGAGACACAAGAAATTAATCTTAGTCTCATTTTTGTGTCACACATATCTCAAGTTGGTCCAGGAGAAGTACCTGAAATATTTTGGAGATCTCATTTCAGATTTTCTTTCCTCTGAGTTGAGCTCAATGAGATTAATCAAATAATTACCTGAAAATGAAATAACATGTATAGCTGTTTTTAAAGTAAATGTTCATATTTGCTAAAATAATGAGCTTTTTCAAGTATACCGGAAATCTTTCCTGCCTAATTCTTTGTAGAGAGCTGGGAAGAGTGATTATACTGAATCTTTCAGATTTATGTAATTACAAGCATTAAGAGGGAGGAATAGGAACCTGGACAACTGAGGGAGGCTGACTAAGGAAACTGACTGAAACCATGAAGGAAAACATAGACCAAAATCAATAACTAAGAGTGAGTATAGGAGAAAAACACAAAGGAAGAAAAAGCATCAGAAAATAATGTACAAACAGAACACAAAAGCTGGTTTGTAAATGTAAGCATATTGTAGAGCAGATCTGAGTCCTTGTTTAATGCAGAGATGCTGCTGGATTTTAAACTGCGCAGCAGTCTCTGTCCTTGGTGCTGAAAGACAGAGAAATGTCTGGTCTGTTTCTGTCTGCAAACAGCCGGACACAAACATCACAGCGGTCTATGCAATCAACCACAGGCACATTACAAAGTTAATCTAAAAGTAAAAGAGAAAACCAACCTTATGTAATCTGTGTGAGCAGCTTACCTGCGTTCCTGGTTTTTGTTTTTAATTATGTCTGCAAAAGAAGTCAAAATGCATGAGTCAGCGCTTGAAGGCAGACTTCAGAAAACGTAATTCCTGCATCATTTTGATAACTGATATAAAGGTAGAGCTGCTGTTCGCTGCAGAGAGAGTGCTGCCTGTGAACATCAGCAGCTGTGTGTCCTTCTGTGGCATTTCCTTCCTCCTCCTTTTTCACTGTCTCAGCTCTGGAGGGAACCACGTCAACATACCCCCCCCCAACAAATATTTTAAAGGGGAAATTGCACCAAATATTCTCAGACAAAGTAAATGAGGTTTGTAAGAACCCATTTCAATCATTATGAGTGGAATACATCAATTTTGTCTTATAGAAGATCATCTTTGTAATCCTATTATTCCACAAAATAATACCCAGGGTGAAGACTCTTTCTTCATCATTAGCCATTGCCTAACTTTGACTTCAGAATAAATTTGTAACAAGACAAAGAAAAATATTTTATAAGTATTTTCCTGGTAGCTTTTACCTACATTTAAATGTCATTATTAGTAAATTGGAATTTATAGAAAACAATCATAGCTCTTCGGGTTAAATTAATTTACAGTTTTCAGCAGCTCTTTGGTTGTATGGTGATAGTGTAAGGGGCAGAAATTTGCCTTTCATGCATTAATAATTTATCAACAAATTGATCATTATTTACAACCAGGGGCGTTGCTAGGCACAAAGCTTTACTGGGGCACTGGCCCCCTAATGCATATGCCCCTCCTTCCATACACAAATACAGACAAGCACACTGCCCAACCCTGATACATTCCTACCAAAATTACCAGTTGAGATATTAACAAGTGTAACAGCATATTTGTTTTAACAAACNAGCATATTTGTTTTAACAAACATGAACATTTTCAACATTGCAGCTATAAAAAAAAAAAAAGACATCAACAACTTTGACAAATAAAAAGTTTCCTTATACACATTCTGAAGTAATCATTAATTTCTAGGTTTCAGAGTTTTAGTTTTAATTTTAACTCATCCTGAACTAAGTTTTTCTTTTATTTTTTTGAGCATTAAAGTGTACCTCCTATTTTTCATTTTTGCAAAGCGGTCAATCACTAGACTGTGACTCAGCTTAGAAAGTTCTTCCTTTTCAACTGATAAAATAGCAAGATGATGGAGCCTGTCTTGTCCCATTGTGCACCTCAGCAGAGTGTGGAGCCTTCTCAACACACTGAATGACCTTTCACAACTCCAGCTGTTGATTGTGATTGTGAGGGAGATCTGGATGACCTGTGTTAGTGTGGGGAACATGATGTTATCAAGCAAGTTGAAAACACACTGCGTATCCTTGATGACAAGGATTTCTTTTTCAACCAGGAAAAGCTATCAAACCATTTTGAATTAAATGAACGTTTTTTTACTCCAAATTTGTCCTGGGGATGGTGGGACAACTTCACTTGTCTAGGACCATCATGCTTTCCCCCTAAGTCACTAATGTCCCCTTCTTGTTTGTGGACGCTGGTTGTTGCGCCCTCATCACCTTCATGGTCCTGTCCATTTTTTCTGACGACGCCGATGATCAGATCTCACCCACCGGACCTGCACCATTTGGCTGGACCACTGGTCACCATCTTCCCAAGACAGACACCAAGCCGCCCTCTCTGTGAGTCACAAAAATCCCTCACTTTTCAAACCAGCACCGAACTGTTGCTCACCTGTCACCCAACCTCTTCCAGCAGTATCTAGAAAACCCTGCCTGCTGGACTTCTCTCTGTAGAGCCTAAGACCATCATTAAAAACCCTTTAACTGTTTCTTGCTTGCGTGATTGCTCTTATTCAGAGTCTGTAAACCTAAGCACGACAAGAAGATTTGCAATTTTTCCACTATGTCGGACTCACCGCTGGTAAGTTAAAATGGGCACGAGCACGTATGACAGTCTTACGTAAACATATCACCAGAATGATTGACAATTAGGAGGGCCACTTATTTTGATGATCCACCCAGGAAAAGAAAATGCTCCACATTATCTTTAAGTTACCAATAGGAAGGGTTTGGTTTGGTCTGGTTTGGTTTGGTTAGAGAGAGAGCAGAGCATTGCCCTCTTGTAGAGATAGCAAAAACTGGAGGTTCGATATTCAGACTGTTTCTGTCACTGAAACAATGGAGATGAAAGGTTACCCGATTAAGGGACAGTAAGCTTTAAACAGCAAATATGATTATTGAGTAAAAACTTTAATTATTTCTAATTATATTGATGATCACATTCACCATTATTTTCATATAAATTGGAAACAGTAGTAGTTCAAAATTTGGCAGATTTAAAAGAAACACTTAACACTTTGTTTTTATCTACAGTGTAGGTCTGCAAATCTAAAATTGTGATTGTGAGTGGCACAGATGAGGAGGTTAGTAAAATAGATATCCCAGGATGGGGAAAGAAATTGGATTAAAGTAGACAACCGGGTTTTCCAAACTGTTTCATTGTAGATTGCTCCTTTCTTAGAACAACAGAGTGGAGAATAAATAATAAATGTATTCTTTGTACATAAGGTGTACAAAGAATTTATGAGCACATGGTAAAGCCTCTTTACGTAGGACGCTGAACCTTATCTTTTACCCTAATCATGCAAAAGTTAATTGGCAGCCTTGCATATAGATATAACTACAATGAGAAACACAATTTTTTAAGAAGATAAGCTGTAAAGAATGTGTTCATCATTCATTTAATGCAGCTTTAAACTGCTTGATTAGTTACATGAACTCACAATAAAATGCATGCATGCCACACACATAGATGCAGACATTTTTCAGTTCAAACACATGGATGTAGTCATGGCAGTCATCCTGCAGGGGGAGACAAAGTTAAAGAAAAAAGAGCCAAGCCAGACTTCAATTACTCAGTTAAATTGTTGGTAACAATTGTTACAGAAGTAACCACGGAATAAAAAACACACATGTTAGAACATTTGTGTAAAATCTTACTAAAAGTCTTATATAGTATTCAACATATAAAACATACTTTGTTTGAGACTGAACGGTCCTGCCTCCACAATTAACATCTAACCATATTTACATACCACGGGGCAGCGGAAAATCCAAATCTACCTTAAGGCAAAATTTACAGCTAACATTTCACTATATTATATCCTAAACAGATGGCCATAAGAATACAGATCATCATAGGTTACCAAGACAGAATCCATTTCACAAGGCATCCTACATCTAACAGAGACACAAGTAACATGTATTATATATATATTTCTAACAAAGCGATTTTTTTTTTTAATTGAAAAAATATTTGTTTAATTAAAGCAATCTTTTTTTATTGAAAGACTCAAATCTACTTTTACCGGAACAATAGATGCACATCACTATTTCCTGAACATCAAAGACACACCTTCACAAAAAATATGGAGGTGTGTTCAAACAGTATTTATATATAAAACTGAGTGGGTTAACATTACATTGTTTTAAATGGTCATCAAGCTTCTTTTTTCTGTTCATTTCCATTGGGTAGATGATATATATTTCCAGACGTCATGAGGATTACCACAGATTTCCTAGCTTTACCTGTTTTTGTTAGTGTGTTTTTCATCTCACTGTTCCTTAACCAACAGGGTGTGACACAAGAAGATGCAGGTATGTTGTATGTTTGTTTTGTAAGATCCATCTTAAATATACATGAGAGCGACACGTCTTATTTGCATTGTGGTCATCTTTGATGATTCTCATAACATTATCAAAGATTAAGTGAAAAATCAAAGGTTCTATGTTCATTTAAGTTTTCACATGTTTTATTTTTCTCTTCTGTCTTGTATGCATGGGATCTGTTTATATTTCTTTTAAGCCCTAGTAATCTTTAGGAGGAATTTAATGAAGCTATACAGCACAATTAATCAACAATAGTTCCCTACTTATCAAGATTACACAACCTTGATAAGTAGCAAGAGACATAAAGCTGGATTTTTTTAAGTTCAAGCATTAATTCTTAAAAAGGTTTATTTTTAACAAAACATATCAGGTATGTTGTTTTAACCTTATCCCACTTTTTCCCCTCTAAAATACAAAGCAAACACAGTATAAAATCTTCAGAAAAACAAACAAAACCATATTTTTTTCAATTAACTATTTGGTATTTGATCCAATGTTATTCTATGTCACACTAACTGCAATCTGTATAGAGAGGATCTTGCTACGCAGTGTGTCCTGATCCTGATCAGTGCAGTTTTTTCACTTCTCACTCTTGCCCCATGAAATGTAACAATGTCACACATTTAACTGTTTAAGATTAATAAAAGTAAAAAAAATAAATAAAAATGATGCAGCAACAAAGCAAAGCCCCACTTTATGACCAGCCTAGACAGCAGAACAGATAGAACATTCAAAAATATACAGAATATAGTATTAACTATGTTTAAAAACAAGGCAAACACAATTAAAAAGGCTGTGGACGGTTTATACAGTGGGTAAGGGTAAGGCAGTGAGAGGTAATTCTCAGAGAGCTTTTATTTTTCATAAAAAGTGGAGAGTGATAAACTGCTTTCCTCTGGTGCTACTGTCCCTTTTTTGTTTTTGCGAGGCTCAAAGAGGATCCATGACTTACTTTATCATTCTTCTGTCCTCCTGAACTCCTATTGTAGGTAAAGTATTATTTTGTTTTCATTTTTAATTGATTGTTTATTCCTGAGTCTGCCCCTCTAGCCTTCTCTATGTGCTGTGTGAGGCAAATCGTGTTCAGAGCTTACTGTTGTTATTAAGATTAAAATAATGAAGTACATTTGTTTCACAACAGTTTAATTGGGCAGTATGCTAAGTAAAAGTTTTATTTTGCCAAAAGTGCCCAAACTGTGCAAAATGTGTTGTTACTTTATGAGGGGATCTCTGGTCAAACTGTGTTGATTTCTATTGTGCGGAGACTCTTTCTGCATATTTTAAGTCTATAAATCACAAATCTATGAGAAGATATAAAAAAATGACATAAACACATTAAAACACTGTAGGTAGCAGCCTGGCTTTGAGAAAAATAAATGATGTATTATCCTAAAGTGCTTTAACTACATTAACTACATACAAGCAATGGCGTAAATATTGGTAAGCAGAGACTACTGTTGCTTAGGGGCCCCTGACCTCTGGGATTGGGATGGATTGGGGTGTTGTACTTCATATGGGGCCCACCCAGATAATGTTGCTTACGGGCCTATTGTTGTGTCGTTACACCATTGCATACAAGAAACAGAAGAATGTAGTGCCAAACAAAAACTTGCAGATTCATAGTTGCTGTTATCCATGTGAAATTTTCTGGTGAAGATTCTTTGTCATTCAGGTCATAGTCATTCCAAAAAAGTTAAATAAACAATCCACTGGACTTTGTTTCCAAGTTTGAAGACATTTTGCTTTCCATCCAGTAAGCTTTTTCAATTCAAAATGAATGATTCAAAATGAATCAAAGCACCAGTTTTGCTATGGCAGCAGGAAATCCCCAACAGGCTGGCTGTGGCAGAGAGCTGGGGATTCCCATCCCAGTGCTGCCAGTTGTTATGCTGGAGGTCTGGCGCTCTTAGGATATGCAGTTCATTCTGAGTGCACAGATGATGTTTTTAGGTAGATTTTTCTCGCTTAAAAAAGTGTTAAAACAAAATTTCCAACTCATCAAAGTAAATGATTCCAAGTTGCTCCCTAGCTTTTAGCTACAGAACAGAGTGTAAGAATAATCAGAGTGCAGATCATTTAGAGCGTAGAAGTGTCCAGTGTTTGACCTAAATTTCCACATTTGTCCAAATTTCTGCTTTTAAGTGTTTTTGATGCTAAGATCACATTCAATGTGAATGCACTGAGTGTATTTCAGCTATCAATTTGAATTTTAATTAAAAATTGGATTTCATTTTGCACTAACTTGTGGACAGTTTTTTTTATGAAATGTTATAGGTGTTGAGAACTGTTGGCAAGAAGGGTTTCTGCAGCTGTCTGTCTTGTTAGCATTAATGTTAAAATCCCCTACTATAACAACCTAATCAGTATTTAACACTAAATCAGGTAGAAGGCCTGAAACTGATTTAAAAATTCAGAATGAGGACAAGGTTTTTGGTAAAAAGTTAGAAACAGAAGTGGTTTTGTTGCTTTAAGATTTGGATGGGGAAAACTAATGGTTAAATGTGCAAAAGAATTGTAGCTATTAACTGACTTTGGACTAATCAGTGACTTAGACAGAAAAAAAGGTTGCTATTCTTCATCCTCGCCTAGAATCTCAGGGTGACTACAAATTTAAATAGCTGGAAGGAGTTGCTTTATTTAGGGTAACATAATCCTGTTGTTGCAGCCAGGTTTCTGTAAGACGACATAAATCAATTTAATTGTCTTGGATCAATTCAGAAAAAAAAAAACCTATTTAAGCTAAGCCTGACAAGTTTGACAGACCATATTTTAATGAAATTTACTGTTTGTATTACAGGAGAGAAGATGACTTTAAAACAATTAGAAAGAAAGGAGCTGATAAGAGGGATGTGTGGCATCGGACCAAAGGCCTTATCCATGGAGAAGAAAATATCAGACCCCGTTAACAATCAGTTCATTGTGGATGACACTCAAAAAATCATCTACTGCTTCATTCCAAAGGTGATAGGCAAACAAAAAAGGTCATTAACATTTTGATTGAACAATCTTTATAATTCCAAGATTTAAAGCCACGCTGCAATGTTTAATTGCTGTGCTTCCATAATATTTTAAGAATATGTTCAACCTATTTCTTTTGTTCCCCCACTGCTCTAAGTGGTTTGCTCTGTCGGCTAAAGGCTCTATACCGCAGTCGACGATTGATCGATTAATTAGTTGACAATAATTTCAATAATCGATTAATCATGATTAATCTGATTAATTGTTTCAGTCCTAATCAACTTTAGGAAGCACTAAGCTACATCTCTGTAAAACAGTTCAATTTTGTTTTTTACAGGTTGCATGCTCGAACTGGAAGAGAGTTATGTTTGTCCTGAAAAAGGGCAAGCCTTATGATGACCCTTCATCCATTAGTAAGACTAGTGTCCATGAATTCAGCAAGCTAAGATACCTGACACAGTTTAATTCAACTGAGAGGAAGGTCAGTTAACTACTGTAATTACAGATCTGTCTAGAAAATAAAATTATTGTTTACCTGAACATTTTTCAACACTGATTTCTGACTTATATGTCAGAATTAAACAAAAAATATATGTTATCATATTTCACTGCATATTTTGTACCTATTTCTTTCTCTACAGTGGAGGATGATGAACTACACCAAGTTTATGTTTGTCCGTGACCCATTCGTCTGTCTCATCTCTGCTTACCGTTCAAAATTTCTGTATAAACAGAAAAACACATACTTGTATAAGAATTATGGGAAAATTATGATCAAACGGTACAAAAACCAACCGAATCCACCGCAAACATTAAAAGAGGCAGAGGAATTGGGACTCCTCCCCACATTCAACAACTTCATTCAGTACCTGGTGGACCCACAAACAGAGAGGAGGGAACCATTTGAGCCCCACTGGAGACAAATGTATCGCCTGTGTCACCCCTGCCTTATAGAGTAAGTTTTTCTAATGCTGAAAGGACCACAGCTTTGAAACAAACTCTAAAACGTATTCCTTTTTCAGGTATGATTTTATTGGGCATCAGGAGAATCTTCAGGAAGATGCTCAAGAGCTTTTGAAATTGTTAAAATTGGAAAATGACATTAAATTCCCGTCAGCCTATGAAAATGTGACTACCTCAAATTCAGTCATGGATTGGTTTAAAACAGTGCCTCTGGAGGACAGGAGAAAGCTGTTCGACATCTATAAATGGGATTTTAAACTGTTTGGATACAAAAGGCCAGATAGTTTGCTTGATGGGTAAAACAAAAGAGGTGATTTTGTCTCTTGCAAATATTTATATGTACTGTATATAAATATTAGATAAAATGCTTAATGGGTAAAAATTATTTTTAGTTTAGGTACTTCTATTGATTTTCTTCCTGTAATTATGAGGCTGTTCTCTCTAGTGCTGCCTTTATCTCTATGGAAAGAGAAGGCATATTTCAAACTTTATTCTTGACATTAT